ACACACACACACACGTTACTATCCACACACACACACGTTACTATCCACACACACACGTTACTATCCACACACACACACACGTTACTATACACACACACGTTACTATCCACACACGTTACTATCCACACACACGTTACTATCCACACACACACACACACACGTTACTATCCACACCTAGTGCACACACACACTTTTATTTAAATCCTATGATTGATGTGATTCTGGAACTACATTATAAGACCAGAACTACAAAACCAGAGAAGAAGAAGACGTTAGTTTGGTAGTTTTGTGGTTTTTATAATACGTGGTGTTAGTGTAGTGTGCGTGACTCACGGCCAGCACCCCCTCCTCGCTGATCACCAGGTAGCCGATCTGATCCTGGATCCTGTCCAGACCTGCAGTCAGAGAGGCCGTCTGGGAACAGAGACCAGAGCCTAGAGGCTAATGACCAGAGCTAACAGGAGCTAACAGGCTAATGACAGGAGCTAACAGGTTAATGACAGGAGCTAACAGGCTAATAGGCTAATGCTATAAACCCACTGTCTGGGAACACAGAGACCAGAGCTAACAGGAGCTAACAGGCTAATGACCAGAGCTAACAGGAGCTAACAGGCTAATGACAGGAGCTAACAGGCTAATGACAGGAGCTAACAGGAGCTAACAGGCTAATGACAAGAGCTAATGGTCAGAGCTAATGCTATAAACCTGCTGTCTGGGAACACAGAGGACCAGAGCTAACAGGCTAATGCTATAAACCTGTTGTCTGTAGCTAACAGGCTAATGACCTGTCAGGCTAAAGACCAGAGCTAACGGGCTAATGATCAGAGCTAACAGGCGAATGACCAGAGCTAACAGGCTAATGATCAGAGCTAACAGGCTAATGATCAGAGCTAACAGGCTAATAATCAGAGCTAATGCTATAAACCTACTGTCTGTAAACACAGAGGATCAGAGCTAACAGGCTAATGATAACTGTAGCAGTAGTTCCACAAACGTTTTACTGAGACAATTGCGGTTTATTACCACTTGAAGTATTAGTAGTTTTGGCTCTGAGAGCTCATTAAAAGTATAAATCATGATAAAAACAGACACATTAAAAAATCACCATTATTGTTGTTTTTGTTGTGTTCCTCTGTTCTTTAAGAAGCGTCGCTCAGCTGCATTTCTGTCTCTCACGTGATGTTCACGTGACTCTTGAGGCTTTCAGGTGCTGTCGGAGAATACAAGACACAGAGTTTAACTATGTTTGAGCATGTGCAGTGTGATCTTTTGTATTGAGGAATGTAATGGGGAGCTGTCTGAGTTCTAGTATATTAGAAGCACCTCGCGTTACAACAATATATATACACAGTTATTAAAAACTAATGAAAACGTTTAGTTTCGTGACTAAGTAAGAGTTGAAGCTGAGATTAACGATGTGCACCTGAAGGCAGCACAGTGCGGTCTGAACGGGAAGATGTTTTATTTTATCCGGATTTTATTTCACGAGTTTTCCTTTGTATTAGTTTGACACTCAACACTTGTTTAATTGGTTAAAGCACCACAGCTGGTTAACTGTTTTATTATTATTTATCTATTTTATTTATGTCTTAATGTTTTTCAGTGACGGAAGCAGCCGGAAGCGGAAGTGTTGATCAGCTGACCTCACGTGACTCTGTGAAGAAGCAGCTGATTCTCAGGTGTTTTTCTCTGTCTCTCTCGTTCTGAACACCTTTAGAGATGTCTGCTCGCGGTAAACTGATCGCGGTGATCGGGGATGAGGACACGTGCACCGGGTTCCTGCTGGGGGGGGTGGGCGAGCTCAATAAGAACCGGAAGCCCAACTTCCTGGTGGTCGAGAAGGAGACTAGCGTCGCGGAGATAGAGGAGACCTTCAAGTGAGTAATCCTTTAATAAACCCTTAAATAAACCCTTAATTAGACCGTTAATATAAATAGGATACCTCCAAGTGAGTAATCCTTAAACAAACCCTTAAATAAACCCTTAATAAACCCTTAAATAGACCGTTAATATAACCATTTATACCCTTAAATAAACCCTTAATAAACCCTTTACTAAACCGTTAAGATAGAGATAGAGGAGACCTTCAAGTGAGTAAACCCTTAAATAGACCCTTAAAGGTCCCATGTCATGGCCATTTCTACTGATCATAGTTCCATTGTTGAGGTCTACTAGAATAGATTTACATTGTTCAATGTTCCAAACTCACATTGGTTTCTCATATAGCATCTCTGTATAGTATGTGTATTCACTCT